CTATTGTGATGCTCTGTTGGCATACCTCAGTATCAAGTCCAGCGAATGCAGAGAGTTCTTAATGCCGCTGCTAGACTAATCTACCACTGTCCAAGATTTTCACACATCACCCCAGTTTTGAGATCACTTCACTGGCTACCGGTAAAATTCCGGGTGGAATTCAAAATTGCTTTACTGGTTTACAAGGTTCTTAATAACATTGCCCCTATCTATATCTCTGAAATGCTTATACCAAAACAATCAAGTGATCGCTGGACATTACGATCGGATGGTCAAGGTCTATTATACATCCCGAAAACAAACTTTAAGACTCTAGGGGATCGGGCTTTCGCACATGCTGCTCCACAATTATGGAATTCTCTGCCTCTGGATGTCAGGAACTGTGAAAACATTTGTGTGTTTAAGAAACGCTTGAAAACATTTCTTTTCAATAAGGCTTATAACCCTTTATAGGTTGAGACCATATTGGATTCTTCATTCTTATTATAGATACATACATTAGTGTATATTCTAATTGTATACAATACCATGTTTTATATAGCATATTTAATTCTTAATATATTTAGATTTTTATAATGTACAGCGCTTCGAGTATATAATATAACATATGCGCTTTATTTAAATGAATAAATTGTTATTATAATGAGTAGCGGGAATACAATCGCGGGCGTAGGCGAATGGGACTTTAATTGGTGGATGTTCCCCATGAATATCTTCAACACAGAGACCAGTTGCTTTCTTAGTTCTGATAGTATTTGTGCCAACAATGGTATTCACTTGCAAATATATTTCATCTCTTTGACACAAACACATCTGTAGATTGATCATCAAGGACTGCGTAGGTCAACGTCTCGCGTGATAGATTTGATCGATGATACACTTTTAACAACACTATCCTGGCACATGAGCGAAGTTCTCTACTCCCGTCACAAATTTTGGTACATGCAGACAACGATTCATTTCTTGTAGGATCATGAAGAACTGTCAAATGCTTCTTCTCACAAAAACAACATTTAGGTGGCGTCTGGTCGCACTTCTTGGCGATATGCTTGTCTGACTTCGCGCAGTTGAAACATAATCTGTTCTTAAACAGAAAATCCTTCCTTTCTTCAAAAGGTAACTCACTGAATTTCTTACACTGGTTCAGTGAATGCGTTTTTGCTTTGTGATATGGACAATATACTTCGCCTTTTACGTCATCTTTCTCCTTAATCTTTACGTTATTAATAGACGACTGTTCGTTTTCTTCTGGTTTTATTTCAATTGTCTCATCAAAACCAGTCATTCTTGATGCCAGCGTCCTGGTTCCCATCCCTTTCTTGTCATATGACTTAGATAATGCGCCAAAGTTTAGATCTTTTAGATTTGAACTCTGGAAAGACTTTAACTGTGGAATGTTCATGCGCTCAGCATGGAAAATTACTTCTTCCATGAAAGCGTTGAATGTAGGGAACGCGTTATGACCTTCTAATCGCTGAAGTTTCTGTACTTTACTGGACCACTTGTTTCTAAACCATAATGGAAGTTTCTCGACAAGACTCTGCAACTTTGAGGGATACTGAAATATCTTTAATTTGGGGATGTACTGGCTAGCTATCTTGACTTGCTGCAAGAAGTCACCAAATTCCTGTAATCCTTGTGCATCATTGTTGCCAATTGTTGGCCATTTGGTAAGCTTGTTCTCGAAATCAATTTCTAAAAAAGCGGTGTGTCCAAAACGCTCTTTCAATATCTTACGTGCTTCATTATAGGCTGTTGCTGGGTCTTCAATCATATATTGCAGTTGTTCGACTACTTTCTTTGCTCGTCCATCAAGATGTTGATAAAGTAAATGGAGCTTTTGTGGATCTGTCACTGGAGCTGAATCAACAAGGGCATCGAAAGATATTTCCGAGAGGAAATATTTTATCTTATCCTTTTCGTCTCCTCGGTAGACATCTGTTTTCGCTTGAGGTAGGCGTTTTATTTGTGTGACTTTTCCTAACGCCTCAATCAGTTGTTGACTGTGTTGCGCTGTCTCGTCCTGTCTTGAATGCAGGTCAGATATAATTGGTGGCTCTGATCATAGACAATCAAAGGAATGGACTGGAAACGCTAGGCAAAACGCTATGACGCGAACGCGGCATCCGTGATACGGGCTAGCACGTATCAATTTATCAGTTACCGTGGCAACTGGCCTGTAAAAAGTTTCAAAAATGTAGATTTTGCATATATTGTTTCCCTTTTCTTTAACAAACGCAAAGGTAAAATATATTTTTTGGCGCTACCAAAAGCAGAGAATATATGCCAAGGTGAGTACGTGTATAGTTTTAATTTTCCCTATAAAAACAATCATTATAACTTCGGTTTTTCACAACGTTGACAAAACAATTACGCACGTATATTATTGTAGCTACCAATCAGTGTATATATAGAGTTCAGTAGGAAAGCCGCCTCATAAAACATTTCGGGTTGCGACGGCCATATTGAATTTTGAACACGAGAAGTAAACATTTTGAGTATTTATAGAACATATATTGAGGATTTTGTTAGTAGAAACTTACTTTACTGAACGACCGATACAGTCGGTAAGTTTTGAACACTTATTGTTGACAATTTTAATGTATTTGTATATTAATTTTAGTTTAACTTGCAGAAAACCTGCTGTTTATATTGGTGGAAATAGTAATATACGATATAAAGTGGAAAATAATAGTGGAAAATTGGCGTATATTTGTTGAGTTTTGACTATCGATCGTACGGGCATAACAGTTTTCGACTAAATCGAAGGCTAATACGAAGTTTATTGTTGGGTTTGATCGCATATTTTTAGAATATTGTGGAAATATTTGGTAAATATTAGTGCGAATATATGTGTGCGTGAGATATAAATATGTCAAAAACATCTGGAACTATATCTGCTGAGGAAACGAAGCAACTGGAAAATAATGAAAATCGTGTGAGTCAAGGTGTAGAACAAATATCTGGTGGGGAAATTCAGGAACTAAATGTTTTATCGCCAGAGCATGGAATAAATATGGGAGAGGAAATTTCTGAACTATACAAGGTGCGAGATATTCCTACTAATAAGTTATCACAGTTGGCTAGTGAAGTGTGTTGTTTGCTAATGGGTAAATGTGTGAATACTAGTTGGAGAAATGCTGTATTGATAATGGATAAACATACTATTGTATGGAAAGAATTTGTTGGTGTGCATGAACGTTTAATTCAAGTGTTGAACAGTGAGACTGAGAAAAGGATGGCTTGTGCTGAATACGGACAGCAACAAAACAGGAAATTAGAGTTGGATGCCAAGTTAAAAGAGTGGCGTAAATCAAAGGAAGCTGAGCATTTAGATGAGATAGAGAGTAAGAAATCTCATAAAGCATCGAAGAGTGGAAGTAGTTGTGGAAATAGTGCTAGTACAAAATTATCGAGACAGTCTAAAAGAAAGGAAAAAATGGCTCTAGCTCAGTTGAAGTTACAAGAACTGAAAGTTTTACAGGAGTATGAGAGAGAAGAACAGGAGTTGAACAGGAAAAGAGATCTATATGTTGCAGAGATGGAAGCGAAACAGGCAACGGTGTCCTACCAAATTGTTATGGAGCAAGACTCAAACAGTTGTGACTTGAATGTACCAATGGGTGTGTCAGTTGCTAAACAACAATTGAACAAAGGAGCAGCAAGTTCAATGAGGGTATCAGACCCAATGGTTAATGATAAGCTTGAAAATTCGTGTGTAGCATTTGACGAAAATGCACCTGTTGAACAAATAAAAGTCCTACTTTAAAATCGACAGCGTCGAAGTCCCCAGAGCAAAGAACTGAGGCATCTTATGGTGAAGGGATCGCAAAGGTGCTGCAACAAGTAGTGAATGCACCCAAGATTGAGTATATCAAGTTTAATGGAGATCTATTGAGGTATGTGACATTTATTCACAATTTTGAATCATGTCTAGAGAGGGACAATCATGATGAGGATCGAAAGTTGCAACTGCTAATACAACATTGCACGGGTAAAGCCCGAGAATCGATTGAGAGTTGTGTGAATTTACCTAATGGTTATAAAGTAGCAAAACAAACATTGCAAGAGAACTTTGGGAAAGCTCACATTATTGCTGAAGCTCATATCAGTAAGCTTTTAAGTTTACCCGATCTCAAAACTGCAGATGGGCCATCGTTGTTAGAATTTGAAAGGCAATTGACTATCACTGAGCACACTTTGGATGGTATGGGAACTGCTTATGTTTCAGAGCTGAATCACATGACTACGTGTTAAGAGAATTGGTTAACAAATTACCGATGTTTCTGAGGGCGAAATGGACCGATCTTGCAGGTGGAATTTTGGAATCTGGTAGCCGCCCGAAGTTCAAGGACTTAGTGAAATTTGTCAACAGCCGTGCCAAATTGGTTAACAATGAGTTTGGTAATGATATGAATAGAGGCAAACATGCACGGCCTTTTGAAAAAAAGAGTAACCAAAGGGATTTCCTCGTTTTCCACGGGTGCATCAAGTCAGCAATTTCGTCCAAGAAATGAACAGTCACAGGGACCAAAGAAATGTTCGGTGTGTTCAAACCAGCATGGAGTGTGGCGATGTGATGTGTTTAAATACTTGGATTATGATGCTAAACGTAAATGCGTGCAAGAGAATGGTCTGTGCAACAAGTGCCTGGATAGGGGGCACATCAGTACGAACTGTCCGAAGACCCGATTTCGTTGTCAGGTTGATAACTGTGGTGGAAGGTACCATACGTTGATGCATAGACCAAACAAGTCGTTAAAGATCTCTGGAGAAAGAAAAGATCCTAGCAAATCTGGGGAGGCAGATTGAGAAGGCAGATGAGACAGTGAAAGGCCAGCAAACTTGGGCCGGTGACAGGACATCCAGCTTGGCTAATGGTGATGGTAGTTTAATGGTAGGAGCTACTGGTGGTGGAGAAAGTAAAGTATGCCTTGGTGTTATTCCTGTGAAGGTGTATCGGAGCAATAGTGATGAATTTGTTGAAACATATGCATTAATGGATAACGGATCTGAAGTGACATTATGTCATGAGCAGCTTGCAAAGAAACTTGGTCTTGTTGGCAAGAAGATAGAGTATACGTTAACTGGTTGACTGGAAGCACCCGGGTAGAAGGAACAATGGTGAGTTTAACAGTGAAAACAATGGACGAAAGTACTGTGATTGAATTGCCCAATGTGAAAACGGTAAATGGGATGCCAATTTCCCCAAGTTGTATACCAAAGAGTGATGATTTATCAAGATGGTCTCACCTAGATGGGACAGATATTCCAGAATTAGAAAAGGGAGAAGTGATGCTGCCAATTGGTGTGAAAGAAAGACTTAGTTTGTTCCTGCCTTTGGAATATAAGATGGGTGAAGAGACAGAGCCTGTAGCAATTAAGTATAGCCTTGGATGGACAGTGATCGGTCCAGTTGGAGGAAAGAAGGTGGACCCTAGCTGTGGGGTGAATTTGATTCACATGGGTACTCCTACGTATGTACCTATTTATGCTGCTGAGCAAGAAAACGGAGTAAGCTGTGTGTGCATGGATGATGATGACATCATGACAGTCAGGGGTTTGCTGAAGATTTATCGAATGATGCGCTATTATCTCCTAGATTGGAGAGAATGTGGAATGCCGACTTTGCTGATACAGGTGTTGACATAAGCGTAAACCCGTCCATAGAAGATCGAAGAGCACTCGAAGTAATGGAAAACTCAATTGAGATGGTAGAAGGACACTACCAAGTAGCATTGCCTTGGCGCAAAGAAAATCCAGTTTTGCCAAACAACAAAGAAATAGCGGAGAGAAGACTTGGCTCATTGAAAGCCCGGTTGATGAAGGATCCAAAACTTTTGGAGAAATACAAGACTGCGGTAGAAGATTATATAAAAAAGGGACATGCACAAAGGATCCCAGAAGAAGAGTTAGAACGAAAGGATAGACCGGTGTGGTACCTGCCACACCATCCTGTGACACATCCGATGAAGCCTGAGAAGGTCAGGGTAGTATTTGATTGTGCGGCCAAACACAATGGTACCTCCCTTAATGACCAATTGTTGCAAGGTCTCGATTTGGAAAATTCGTTGGTCGGAGATATGATTAGATTTCGACAGGAGCCAGTAGCCTTGGTGGCGGATATAGAAGGAATGTTTAGCCAGATAAGAGTTGACCCAAAGGACTGTGATGTCTTAAGGTTTCTTTGGTGGGAACGTGCAAACCTGGAAGCAAGTCCAACAGAATATAGGATGGTTAAACACGTCTTTGGTGCAACTTCGTCGCCTAGTTGTGCCAATCTCTGCGTCAAGAAGTTGGCTTCTTCTAGTGAAGAAAAGTTCGATCCTGAGACAGTCAAGACAGTAGAAAGAAATATGTAAGTTGATGACTTGATGAAGTCTGTATCGGACAACCATACAGCAAATCGTCTGGTGGCACAGTTAATCGAGTTAATGGAGAGTGGTGGTTTCCGGTTGACAAAATGGATCAGTAACGATCGACTAGTGTTATCAGAAATCCCAGAATCTGAGAAGGCCAGCTCGGTTGTTAGTTTGAATGTTGAAGATCTCCCGACAGAAACTGCCCTTGGTCTCAAATGGAATGTGGAGAAGGATGAATTCGTATGGGAAGTGCAGGAAAAGATGTTGTTGTTATGTGGTCAGAAACCTGCGACAAGAAGAACTATATTATCTATTGTGAGTTCACTATTTGATCCTTTGGGGTTCTTAGCACCCTATATTATGAAGGCAAAGTTGATATTGCAGGAATTATGTCGAAATGGAGCTGGTTGGGACGCTGTTATTGAAGAGAATAAGAAGAACCAGTGGAGTCGCTGGCTCGAAGATCTAAACAAGTTAGAGAAGATTAGCGTGAAGCGATGTTTTAAACCTCGGGACTTTGGCTCGATAAAGGAAGTTGAGTTGCACATATTCTCAGATGGTTCACGCGTTGGGTACGGCGCGGTAGCCTACTTGCGTTTGGTTGATCAGGACGATACTATTCATTGTTGTTTCGTCTTGGGAAAGGCTCGTGTAGCGCCGATACGAGAGATAACTATACCTCGTCTGGAATTGTCAGCGGCAGTCATTTCCGTGAAGTTGAATAAGATCATTCAAGAGGAGTTAGACATCGAAGTGAACAGTGTGACATATTGGACTGATTCGCAGTCTGTCCTAAAGTGCATCTGTAATGAATGAAAGAGGTTTCATACTTTCGAGTCAAATCGGTTGACAATCATACATAATGGGTCGTCGGTCGACGAATGGCAACATGTTAGCAGTGAAGATAACCCAGCAGATGATGCATCGAAAGGACTCAAATTGGAAGAGATAGCACACGGTGGTCGATGGTTGAATGGGCCCGCGCGACTTTT